GATGCATCAGGAGAACTACAAAGACAATGCCAACCTGGAACAGGATGCGCAGGATGCGATCATGCGGGCGGCCATGAACAACACGGAGCGGTTCGGGGACATGATTGAGACGTGCCGCAACTTCTCGGAGACGTGCGCCACGCGGGAGGGTAAGGGGGGATGGGGGGGGATGGCGGATAGGGGGATGGCGGAGGAGGAGGCGGATGGGAGGTGGCGGGCAGTGTGCAGGGAGGAGGTATGGGAACACGGAGGTTGTGTGGTGTACACGGAGGTTGTGGTGTTGCGGTGTACGGTGGTGGGGCACTACAGAGACTACCTCCTCAATAGTGCAGCTGTGATTAGTGGAAACCGTAAATAGTGCAGGTCAAAGGATTTGACCTGCAGCGTACATTTAAAAAAAAGTGATTGGCGAGATCTTCCCTCAAGTAGTGCAACACACCAACAGTGCAGTATTTCACGGCGTGGAACGGTACTGCACTACTGAGCGGAATAGACTGTACCTTCGAAGGTAGCGCGAGCAGCGAATGGGGAGCGCGAAAGAGGGAGCAGTGGTCTTGTACGCAATCTCCTTGTACGGTGCGCGCCTCACGGCGGCGCGCACGTGTGCGGCGGGGAGTCTTACAGCGAGTGCCCCGGCGGCGGCGCGCTTACAGCGGTCGCCGCGTGTCGCCGATAGAGCGGGGGTGCGGGAGATAGGGGGAGATAGGGGGTTGAGGCTGTGTGTGCGGCAAATGCTGGGCGCCCAGGTGGCCCGCGTACTTCCCCTACCCTTGGTAGGGGGGGGGGGGCTGTTGGATATCGCTACTACATATACTGTGCACATCCCTCTCCACCCGTCTCCTGGGCAGGGGGCACTCCCTTTTACCACAGGGGCGGGCGCGAATTGGCGCGCCGCCCGAATCTCCGTGCCGCGCCCTGGTTGGCCGCGATCTCAGCTCTGACACTGCGCCCCCCCGCGCCGCGCCAGGCCCGCGCGCCCCGCACCTCTCGGCCAGTCGTTGCCGCCCCCCGACTGACACTCCCCATGCCCACACACACCCACACCCCCGCCTCCGCATATCTGCGCAGCACACACACACCCCCGCTTAC